TCTGAGACAAGTCAGTTTTGACCCTTGATTAGTGGTTTTGTATGACTAATAAAGTGAGTTGGTGAAATAGATTTTTGTACGTTTTTGCACACACATGAGAAATTTGGTTTCCTCAAGAGTCTGCCATCTATAGACTATGAGTACTGATATCCGTAACCAAGGCATAACAGGATACAATAGCGAAGGTTCTATTGTTAAAGAAAGAACCATCCCAAATGATCGGGAAAAATGAAACAGGCCGCAGAATCATACCGTACCCGTAAGTCTATGTGTTGTGTTCTTAGCCCGAGATTTTTTCTTTGGTGCCTCTGTTTTGTATTGATAATAATTACAGTATCCAATAATTTAAATAATGACGTAATCTGTAGGCCTAGGCCTATTTGGACATTTTCCCATAGCGTTGTTAACACCGGAATTAAGGAGTGTAGGTCTATAGTGTACTTTGCCTAAATTTTGCATTAATGCACTGTATACGGTAATGCTCTGCAGGGCAAAAAACACACCCATACAACAAATTCTCGAACACCTGAAATCTGTCAAAAGAATAGGATTTCATATTGCTTTGCAGGCTATACAATTATGTCCCCCAAGGCCATGTAGGACATAAAGTGACTCAATATTAATCACATTTCACCTTAGGGATGCGAATCGCTCAGTGCCCGTTGGAGTCCTTTCGCTAAAATTTAGATGGTATTAATTGATTTTGGATGAAGAAAGTCGCAGATCATCTCAGACTTGCGTTGTCAATCAACAAATCACAATAGTAATATCCTGATGGTCAGCACTTTATGAACCACTTTCCCAACATCACCTGTTGCCTAGACCAGTATGATGTTGATCCGATAATGCGTCATACGTCGATGTTACGGAGAACCAGAAGGTCACTTACGTTAATTCTCCTTCGAATGACATACTATAGTGAATAGAATAATAATACTTTGCTAATCAATTGTCCACCGTTTAATAAACACTTAAAACGTCAACATAAATTTATCCATTTATAAGCCTACAATTAACTCCAAGGTTTTTATACACTTAGGGGACATGTTTTTCTCACGGCTCCCAATGTATTTAGATAGGCCAGGTTTACTAATTTGACAGTGAAATATAATTTCACTAAAATACAATAAAGTTTTCTCAATATATCAATATCATCAGTAGAAGGCTCTCTACAAAACAACACTTAGTAGCAGTGGACTGATTTTTTTTTTATATATATATAGGCATGTCTATTTTAATTTCTACTTCCAATTTTGGCATTATTAATTTCAATTTGCTTACTTTACAAAGTCTTGTTGACGCTTGTTTATGGAGTAGCAACACTTCAGTAAGCACGATTGCTGGTGTAGAGTGTCGAAAAGATTGATTACTAGTACTCAGTACTTAAACATAAACTTGCTTGGAGAGGTCAGTGATTTAAGTACCTGTTTATCGTACTGTGGTCGTACGCTTTTGACCCAATGAAACAATGTTACGGGTTATTAAGGGGCTCTTTTTATGTTGAGAAAACACGTTCCATCTCTCATGGCTTAGGCCTAGTAAATTTGATAGCGTCTCCCTGTGGACTGACCATGCGCGGTTCATTTACCGGATGATGAGATCCTAAATACTATTCAATCGAACACAGGTTGATGATAGGCCATAGAGCGCTGACGAACTCCTAAATTCCTTTGAATGCGCTTGTTCCAAATATTTATGTCCAGAATATTTGAAACATATCATATTGCGATATTTACAGACAATTTAATTTCTTTGATTAAAATTGTCGTTCGATGCCCTATAATTTGGAAATTCGAATGATGGGCCATAGGCTACTGTAATAGATGGAGGTGATGGGGTCACATCATGTCCTTCTGTTAAGCTGTTTCTGTTTTGGTCAGTGTTACGTTTGTTTTAAAGATGGAATAAAAAGATTACCAGCACATAGCACCTTCATTGTTGGATGAATGGTCTAGTCTATAACCTGATATAACAATCACATTATGGGTTATATTTCCGTTCACAACCATATTTGGTTCACAACCATAATCTTCCGTTCTCATTTAGCCTACACCATGAATGGCAACGGTCATAAACACCAAGGCGGAAATATTAACAACGGATGCAATGTTATCTAAAATCAATTAAATGTTTCGGCTGTTATCCTGTGGTGTGTCACGTAGGCATGGCCGCAATGGGGCTTGAGCTGGCCCACAACTCGTTAGGGACGGAAAAACAAGTCTGTAATTTTTGAAAAATTATGAGACTGTCCCTAAAGTCCATTAAATGAAACTTTCAAAAAGTTAATTTTTCGAAGCTTCGCACCTTGACCTCACCCCATTCGAAGGTTTTTGGGCGGCGCCTGTGGCCCCACCCACTTACGCTCCCATTGAACACATTCCCTCCACCCACCCTGTCGGGTAAATCCTGGTGCTATTACTGGTGTCTTTCATCACTTTTTTAAGCATGACGTCTACCTCTAAAAAGTTTGTACCGTATTCCGCATGACTATTTCGATTTTCACTCCTGCCTATAGGAACCAGAAATTTACCTACCATCTAGACCTAGATGTATTTTATTGAATGGTAGACCTATTGACGAATAATGTATTACTGTAATATATATGAGACAAATCATAATATTGTAGCCCTTTCCCAAATATTGAAAGATAGGCATGAGTGAATTACCGAAGACCATCAGTGGAACGAAGCCGGCCACCGGCCGGACGGTATCAGAATAGGATACTCAAACAAACCATGACACCCAGCTCGATTATATGTATGTCTATTACCGTTAATCGGATCATTCAATTACGTTCATCACCTCCGGTGATACTTTACATTCTCCATAATGTTTTTCTATACTTTAGAGTTAAATTAAGCGTACGTTTAATTAAGTTCTGTACCGACGACACATAAAAAGGTCTTAGTTTATAGTTACCTTATAAAAATAGGGTACTTTGTGAATTTTAGACACAGCTTTGTCTTTGGGGAAATAGATTTTCAATCTTTTTAAAGAAAACAACTGTGCAATTGAATCAGCGGGGTACAGTATATAGAAACGGAATACTGTACGGGATTGTCTCTCTCTCTCTCGTAGCAGGTCCACGTGCAACATGTTTATATGCAAAACACTCGTTAGAAGGCCCGTTATAGCCTCATCTCATTGCATTAGCACGGAGGTATAGTATAAAAATAAGCTCTAGTATTTTATTAAAGAAAATTATGCTTTATGGAATTTTTTATGATGTAAATAATCGTCATAAATATGCAGATTCCGCTGTGATTATCCTCTTGATATTTTTCCCAGAGGAATTCGGTTTCATAATCCTCTCGGATTGCTTTTTGTAGACGGCTGATTCCACCCAAGACTGACCTGGTTTACTGGTTTCATTAATCCCTACTCCAGTTTATAGACCATTAGTAAATCATCCCTACTTCAGCTTTGATCTGACAAAAATGTATCACGACCGGAATGTAACTTGAAGTTGATATCTCACTGCAGATCAACACAAAAGTAGGCCTACAACTAAGGAGAGACAAATGAAAGAGAAGATATAGGCCTATGACATTAAAAGACGTTAAGCCATGGCATAGAATTATGAAAGAAACTAGGCCTACTTGAGAAGGGATGCGTTCATCCAAACCAGGATGGATGGCATAACCCAGACATCGTTAACTCTTTGTTAATAATGTATTCCTTCCTGATGTTTGCTTACTCACCAATAAGGTGGATTGTATTATGTTATATGCCTATATATAGCAGCTAATCATTAGGCCTATTCTCAACACCCCTGTGGGAGCTAAGTAATATCAATTAATTATTCTATACTCGAGAGACTAAAAGTGAAAGCACAACAAGTAGGATTATACCCTATGTATTCAAAACTATGTCGCGGCCTATAAAATACAGTGTAAATTGATTGCATTCTAAAGAAAAAAAAATCTAATGCGCATCGAAACACCGCGACAGAAACAAATCATATTATATATAGGCCTTGGTAGTTTATAAAATTAGGTCTATATATTTTAATTTTTTTGCCGCAAAATATTTCATAACAGATTTCGATACAGATACGATGAGTGATTCAGCCACGAAGAAGTTTTAAAATCTTGTGTCATGTAATACGTCTATATTGAGGGCGCTATCATTCTCACATTCGCTGAAATTTAGCAATGCCAGGTTGCGTACTGATTCGAATGCATTGCATTGCTCATTTCTCATCAGACAAAATATCGCTGCCAGATTACATTAGCTATGCTCAAACAAATGAAACCACCAAAAAAAAAAAAAAAAAAAAAAAAAAAAAAAAAAAAAAAAAAAAAAAAAAAAAAAAAAAATAGAAAGGCCATTTGCAAGAAGGTAATCAGTTTCATCACTTGAAACTATATCCTCTATGTCCAAATTTGATTAGGATATAGACCTCTGTTAGTAATAATGGACCTTTCCTGAATATCGACCAATCTAAACAACTGACCAATCAGAACGGGGCAAGGAATACGCGCGTGTCTCACTAACACAGGTGCTGTTCCACAAGCGCACGTGTTCGCGTATGTTTTGACGCTGTCGTTTTGTATAAGAACATCTAAAGGAGCGGGGCTTAGCGGAAAGGTCTATGGCCTTTTTGAAAAAGAAACAGAATGGTGCATTAGTGAGGTTTATCCATTCATAACTACGTCACTGCAACTCATTAACCTCGTGTGCTTTTCCTTTTCTTTGCAGTAATAGGCATAGACCTATAGGCCTACATGATTTACCATGTTTCAAAAGAAAACAATAACCGAGTGACCAGTACCGGTAGCCTATTATAATGTACTTGTTGAAAGCTTGTTGAACCATCATATGAATTATAACATTGATCTGTGATTTAAATTGGAAGATTTTTGACCTCTTGAACTCGAAAGTTTCACGTTGCTTAGATACAGCATACAGAAATCTAATTACGTCCTAAATATTTTGTGATATAACGGAGGAGATGGGTTGGCGGTCATGCTAACAAGTTTCTTGCTGTTTGTTTTCAGTATAAATATTCCATCGATCAGCTGATGACCTCTGGCGACAGCGGGCTATCATCGCCATACCTCAGTATACCACACGCCGGAGAAGTTCCTCACGTTGAATCGGGTAATGCTACATAATTATTTTTCAAAAGCCTTTGGGCTGATCAAAGGGTTTGGCTAAATATGGTTATGATGTGACATCTGACAATTTCACTCTCATTATTAGCCTATATTTTTGAAATGAATACATTATGGTCAATCATGCCCATCATTATCGTTATGGACCTCATTGTCATCGTTATATCATCATCATCATCACCATCACCATCATTATCATCATCATTATCTACACCAATAGCATTATCACCATCAACCTCATTGTCATCGTATATCGTCATCATCTTCATCGTTGCCCCGGCCGTCATCATCAGCGTCGCCATTGTTATCTTCGTCACATCATCATCATCGCCACCAGCATCATGATTACGTCATTATTAAACTACAACTATTATAGATTTAATTATCGATTTTAATTGTGCCACTTCGATATTGTTGATGATTATTTCGATGTTAGGCATAACTGTGATTTTCCCCCGACTCCATAGAATTTCAGCTGTGGCTCCCCTGTGAAGATAGTGATGGTGACATGAAGTCAGTCTACATGAGCCTCATCTTTACCAACCCTGACGTCAGTCATCGTCACTTCAAACCCGTTACCATGCTCATCAATAAACGCTGCAATCTCGGTAAGACTTGGTAGGCCTACGGTGCCTATATAAGCCAACGTTGTAGTTATTTACTTTAATTAAAAGTAGTTTATTATACCGAATATGGAGGTTTTGGAATTCTCAGGCAAAGAGAACCACAGTTCCATAGGGGCCTATGTTTGATATGCAAGTCAAAATTTAACGAACAATCGGAATATGGGAGAGAGGGGACATTTTCGTAAATGTTTGCTTCATTGATGTCCGAAATGCACTCTTCCTTATTCTGACAGGTCGAACTAAAATTTTTTTATATAACTTTGATTTATTTGTGTTATTTTCATTATATTTTATTTACATCTTCTCGGATAACCATAGGCATATATTGCAACGCATGGGAATGAAGATATAGGGAGGGCGGATTAGATTTGTATATTTTGCATGCCCACATTTAGCCAGCACCTCGGTTGCATTTTTCACTCCGGCTTCTCGTTAACTCCTAAAAATAAGCTCAATCGTTTATTATTCCGGTACACTTGGAGGATTATCTTCAATTATGGGTTTTACAACAAATGGAACGAAGCCAATTCGAATGTTCGTTGTCATCATCATTCACGATTGTGGCGACGAACGTGTGCGTCAAAATAAGAGTAATTTACAACACAATTCACGCTTAGTTTGAAGCGTGACGGTGCGCTCTTCACGGGCTAAATCGTTCTCCTTGCATTCCCACGAAGTGTACAACAACTTATTTGGCGCCAATAATATATACTTTATCCTATAAAGGCATTATATATATCAAACAGAAAACCAAAGCAAAGCGGACAGTGAGAAAGTAACAGAATGACAACAGTTTTTGCTGCACAGTGAATGGCAAATAATCCTGCAGTGACCATCATTATAAATCTAATGAACAGACAATGACCATTGAACAATAATGAGAAACTAAACCAGTAACCTAAATTAGTAACCTAAACCAGTACCCTAAACCAGTAACCTAAAACTAACCAGGGCAGTAAACCATCAGTATCACAATACCACTGAATAGTTTACCGTTAATTTAAGGTGCCAGCGCATTATTCACAGCGTGCCATAGTGGTGTGGAAATCTACCTCTCATTGGCAAAACTTATTTCAACAAATCTGAAAGAGGTGTGTCTTTAAAAAAGCACACTTGAAAGATGTAACGGTTTCGCAGGACCTAATGTCGCCTTGTAGTTTGTTCCACAGCTGTGTAAAACCTATTGTAGGTTTGCGATTTCTATCATATGAATTTTCAAGTAATTATTGAATTTTGTGCTCGCTTTAGGCCAAATCTTTATTTGAGTTTGAGGGTCTTTATCTCAGACTTGAATCATATTTTACACGATGTGTGTACTTAACGGAGAAGTGCCGTAAGAGTCGTAAAATAGAGGTTACGGCGTATAGTAAAATACTGTAACGATATTATATCAGTTTGGGCCTTATCTTCTTAATAATGTACTGGTGTCTATACATGCATGGAGGAAATATTCCACCATGATACATGTAACACCTGAAGACTAATTAGCAGGCCTATAATCCTATTAGGACTGGATTGAGTCTTTGCGATACAAGAAATGGAAAAGTGCCGTCAGCTGCACCAGCGCAGTTTGCCTTCTAAAATCCCTGGTCGCTCGTAAAACGTCTCTAGTTACCTGCGAGTTGAAATGCAAGTTCAACTTTGTCCTGGTGATTAGATAGAAATAATTGCCCTTCTTTTTTCTCTTTTTTTTTTTTTATTACAGAATAATTTATAATATTACAAGGACAACAACAATATTTTTGGCCTAGGCATTGTATCGATGACATTACATAAATCAAATAAATGGAATGAAAAAAAAAAAAAATCGGTGTCGAGGTTCCTCTACGTGACGCACAGATCATGTATGATTATAGTTGACATAAAAAAATATAATAATAATTGTATCTACCAATTGTTGACAAGGTTGTACCTCGTTGTCATATTAACTGTCACACGCGTGGCAGACTTTCTCGAATGGAAGCTATTTTCGTACAGGCCTATTGTAAATGCTTTGGCCAACCGTCGTTTTTCTTTTTCCAACTGGTATCAAGTGAATATGTTTGGGCTTACATTAAGAATCCAACCTCTACAGTATGTTATTTGCAATTTTAGAAGTTTTCAAAATCACTGGCTAAATGAGACAAATTTTAATATTAAGACTAATGCCTATAATAATGCTATTTAATTTCACTGTAGATATAACTATTAGACCTATTAAATTGGTCTCATGACTCAGATGTTAGTGAGTTAGAGCAACCGAAATGTAATCGACAGGGACAATTATGCCTAAGTTTTTCCTCTAAAGCACCATATATCATCATAATTAAGATTATCTTCCGATCTGTATTGTATTAAAATCTGACATAAAATAAATTTACCTTAAAATTGTACAGTTTTGCAAATTAAAACATTATGATATTGTATAAAGGCATATAAAGCACGTTTTCATACTTATTTCATTATTAAATTTGTTATTGTATACGTCATGCCGCCTAAACGATTAAGCAGACTATGTAGAGTACGGTTCCCTTTAAAGACACCTCAAAAATACTTTGTCGTTCCGACTCTCTTTCGTTTGCTTCCAAATGGAATTTAAAGTGTATGCTATTCATTATACAGAAGCATAAAACAATGAACTTGGTTTGTGACGCAAGAGACAAACTCGAGAGCCAGAACAAGCGGTGTTTAGGCCAAGAAAGTACACGCAGTTAAACGCCGACCTCTCATCTCCTAGGAGAGATGCCTGCATCTATTTTAGGATGAATTATGCGTTTTATATCATTAATTTAATTTAATATGTACTGTAGACTTGCGGTATTTTATGGTTTTTACTTCAGTGGTTTAGGTTATTTGAGTACGGTATACATCGTTGTAATAGGCCCCTATGTGTATTGCTATTCATTAAATTTGGAAATATATTAATTAGATCTAAGTGAGATTTATTGAATTAAAATGTAATGGATATGGAATATTATTTGTGTCGTCATGTGTTTGTAGGCACGGCTATACCATGCAGACATACTTGCGAAAATGGAGGATCTTGTGGGAAGTACGGTGTATGTGAGTGCAGCGAAGGGTATTATGGACCAGCGTGTAAACAAGGTACGTTCTTAGCTAACAATTGTGCATTATAATAACGTTACAGTTTCACCACTGTATTCAAAGTGTGTTTTTGCAAAACCAGATACATGTTTATAACGTATTTTCTGACTATAAATAATGTTATGTTACAACGTAGTGTTAACGTAATATTCTCTGACATATATCCTAATCACAACGTTCGGGAATATAGACCTCCAGCTCCTAAATTCTGCATTGCTTATGAAAAGCCTATCTGTTTTGTTTACGGTAGAAAACAAAAATAATTGATAACAACAACAGTAAAAAATATCTTGAATACTAGCTTTGGTCACTCAGATGCTATAATTCAGTGACGGAGGAATTCGAAATAGAGGTACCCCGGGAGAGACATTTACAGGACGGAGAGTCCAGACCACCTCAGCTCCAACACAGTTAGGGCTGAGGTACAAAATGTTAGGGCCATGGTATCTCTGATTGCCAAGAATGGAATAGTACTCTGAGGGGTAAGGGGGGGGGGAAATGAATCCTCCCAATTGTAATTGGTGCTTTTCGCCTAATTAGTTAGGCTGGTATATATGACTTCCTAATTCTCACGGTTTAGGGATTTTGATTACCGATCTATGAAACTGTGCCAAATCTCCAGCTAATGATTGTATCATCCTTTCAATTTGTATGTGTTTTTCATTGTAAGTTAATAAATAACATTCATCTTTGAGCAAATCCTTGTTTTGGGATTTGGTGATAATGGATAATAACTGCATCGTTAACTTCTAAGATAGGCCTAAAAAGTAGGATGAAAGTTGGGGAATGTTTGAACATACGGAATTTAGTTAGGATTTAATTTAATCAACACATGTAATTGATTGATTCCTAAATTGAGTTTACTTTTTTTTTTCTGTACTCTTCCAGTTCTCTGTGTGCCTCATTGTTATAATAGTGGAACTTGTATCAAACCAGGGGTCTGCGCATGCGCTGAAGGATTCAGCGGGAAAATATGTGAGAAAGGTGAGTTATAGACAAATACACACTACATGAGCTCATTATACATCGTTAAAATGTGAAAAAAAATGCTCAAAGACACAACGAGAAGAAAACTTACATGAAAGCATAAAAAATATAGTCCTGTAGGCCTTACGAATCGTACATCTGAATACATGTGAAAACATAATCTAACAAATCACATCCACTAATGGGACCAGACGGTCGATGCATTTGGAAGTTAACATCTATATAGAAAGTGGACCGTTTAATTCGGATAATTCCTATTTATAATTTATTAGAATTCATTTGGAAATAGGTCGCCTTTAATAACTACGGTACTTTCGAAGTCAAAGGACATAACACAATGTCATGTTTAAAAACCTTACGGTATATAGTCTAGACAAGATAGCGTCTTCGGTACTTCATTTGATCTACTAAATATACTCTATAGTATAATAAGGTCCACAGCTGCAGCTACCGGTAGACCTATACTAATATAAACTTAAATCTTTGTATAGGCCTGTGTATTATCAATTAACGAAAAGGAAGGACGCCTGTTTGGGCCTGAATTATGTCGTTTGTTTACGTGTGAATGAGACCTAACACATGGCCCAGGAAAAGTATTTCTTGACGATGAGCGACCCGTAAGAAATAAATTTTATCGACTCAAGCTTGAGAGCGTTTCCTTGTTACTGATAATTCGATAAGATATGATACAATGTTTCACTGTCTGTATGATCCATTCCATATTAGTCAAATTAGTATCAAGATAGTTAATTGGTTCCCACGCGGAAATAAATGAAATTATTTATTTTATTATTTACAAGACTTACCGGTATACCAGTACGCCTATGTGTTTAAGGTGCCGTATTTTATTTAGAACATAAATATTTATTTAAATAAAATGAACACTAATGAAAGATATTATCGAAGCGGCGGACATCTCTTACCCCAAAAGAAGAAAAAAAAATGGTAAGACGGCTTAATACGCGGTTTGAAGTCTGAAGTTTTCGAGGAAAACGCTAACGACTTAGGCCTAAACCAAAATACCATTCAGATGTGTCAGAGCCGATACATCACAACATGTCGGATTTAAATGATTCAACTGAAATTATCTATAATGATTGATGATGAACCAATAACATTTGCCTCTGGGTTATGTTACTTAGTTAATGCTCTGTTGTAGTTCATGTATGTCTGATAGTTGATTGATGTAAGTAGGCCCTACATTCTCGATGAAATATTATACCTCGAGTTACGTGGGGGAACGTTGCTAATGGCACCGCAAAGAACAATTTTACGAACATGAAGAGACTTAGTGACTCCTAACACGCAATGATATGCACCACATTGTATCGAACCTTGTAGGGGTGAATGGAACAAACATTGTGTCATTTATCAGTAGGGGTTAAATGTTTAATAGGTTGTACTTGGACTACCACAGTATGCTGCGTTGCATCCATTAGTGTGTTGCGTGCGATCTTTGTGCACACGTTGGGGCGTTTGCGTATATGAATTTCTACATGTAAATGAAGATGAGGTAAAAACTATCTGTAAAGCTATAAATAATCGAATAATTACGTTAGCTTAAAACCTGGCTCGTTTTACAGTTCAATCCAATGACAAATTTGCTTTGATAACATTTGAGTAATAGAAAGGTCAAGAGAGTTTGTGTGAGTGAAAATATAGGCTATGGCTAAAAATAGTCAAACATGGAACAATAAGAACATGATCTTGCTTCAGCCCCATGTTTTCTTTCGCTCGTCAAAAGGTGAGGGGGGGTCAACGAATTGCAAACGGTAGCCAATTCTTTATTATTTCGTGTAAAAACAAGGTGGTGTTCAATACATGGTATAGGGCCTATCTAAACACTACCGTTAGTATGTTTAGGGTTGAAGTGTGTTATACTAATAATACTAATATTTTAATCACAATTATGTTGTGCTTACAAAATAGTTCAATCGTTTTATCAAGTTCAGTGTCACGAAAAAGATTAATATGATTTTTGTATGTTTTAAAAGGACTACTTTATTTCAAGATTTCTTAGCATCATAGGCTCAATTACTATAACTCATTGTCTTTCAGCTTCTTGTAAGAAAAACTGTAGCAACCATGGTCGCTGTATAGGACCAGACAAATGCGTATGCCATAAACAGTGGACAGGAAAATATTGCCAAAAACGTAAGTAATATCTCTCATGATATGTCGATAAGATAAACAATGACTTCAGTATGTTACACATTTCAATTTGAAAATGGGTTTAAGTGACATCATTCAATAAACTTTGATCCTGGAGTGTGAACATTTTGACATATAACAAATCACGTTCTGCAGTGATTTGCACGGTTCAAAAGTATTCCGTGATATTCGTCTAATCGTTTGGCCCAATATGGCTGTTTATATTTGTAATATTTGACACCGTATTATTGTTAAGGAAGTAGGTTATCGTAAACTCTACTCAATATTGCACTTTGTTTATAATAAAACTGGAAAAACAACAGTATTTCAAACGTTCGTGAAAGTTATTTATCGATTTGTTGGTACAAAGTTACAAAGTAAGTCTTATACACAACTTAATATACGATATAAACACATGTTAAAATTACATTTTCCAATGTATAGTTATGCATAAAAGAAGTTAATCTTGCACCCACTATTGTTTTTTTTTTTCAGGATTAACAAGTGAGGTTTATGCAAAGTTCTACAAAATGACTCGAGCAAAAAGAAAATCTACGAAAACAGCGAAGACAGCCGTTGAAAATAAATGAATTATGATTTTGGAAACTATGACTGTAGGCCTACCATCAGACAATTGTAGTGTCTGTCGCGTGATGTAACTATGGAAACAACTAACCGGTTCTCGAGAGACTAAACATTTGGATTGAATTTTGTTATAATCCTATCACGGACTCTTAGATTTAGTAACCAACGACGTCATCTTTCAGAATATTTTTGTTTAAACTGGTGTCTGAATATAATATTTTAAAATAAATAAGTTTAAAGCATTTCTACGTAAGACGGGCATAGTATTGCGCCAATAGACGATCTGTGAGCCGGTCGCCGTCTGCTGACTTCCAGACTGAGCGAAGCGTCATTAAAAAAAAAATCGATCCGTTGCGCACGAATCGTCGCGTTGCGTTCTCTATGTGATTGCGTCGGATGACGACCGTCGGCGCAATATGCGCATCTTTGAAGCATTGAGGACATGAGCATGCCTACACAGATAAGCAGCATCTAGAGTATGAATTGGCAATGCAATTTTAAATTTAGTTTGTTTCACATGAGCATGCTACAGACGCAAACGCGACGCACGTTTGTTACGCGTTAAATATCAAGTGGTTCGTACTGGATGCGTTCCGTTTCACGCGTTTATGTCAAAAACATGTCCATGTGGAACCAGCTTTAAAACATAATGTATGGAGCAGTTTGTAATAAATGCGTTATGATACACACTGGTACGGTACCATGACGCATTTCGGCAGAGGAGAGATACTGTATGTTTTAGCAGGCCTACAGATACTATCATAATAATTCGTGTTGTAACCGTACTATTTTTTTAATGTATTTGTTTATATTGTATTAGATGATTAATAAAATAATTGTATTTGATGAATACTGAATGACAGAGAACTCTTTTAAAATTAATATTTCTGCATAATAACTTAGTTGTTCTTCACTTTAACAGAACTTTGTGTATGGTGAGTTTATTCATAATTCAAAAGATCGTCATTCGAAAAAAAAAACACCAGTACTAATAGAGTAACTGAGAAAATATAATTGTTGAAATAAGAAAACTATTTATTCATTTCTAAACTGTTATTGTCTACAGTGAATGCATTATACTAGCCTAATCTTTGTCGATTAAATCACGATGTGAACTTTTCGTGGATATGTGTTAGGCCAGAAGTGTTGAGAAATGGACGCACGGAGGTGTGCGCGGGTCATAATCACTACACCGGGCGCATTGAATCAAGGGTTTGAAATCCACGACAATGTTGTATATACGTGTGTATCTATATGTATGTATTAGCTGGTAAAGGATACTTTGTTGTCAAAAGTGTCTGAGCAAAATGATCTTTTATTTTGGTCGGAGGTGTATGTCAGCATGAATGAACAGTTATTCACTGGGCCTACCCGGTAAACTGGTTAATTCCAATTATAAGTAAAATTAGCAGTTAAATCATTTTCTAGTTTTTCTTTTCTTATTTCTGAAATAAAATAGAATTGATTGATAGCTAACTCGCAATTACGAAGGTAAAATCTAACCAGTTTTATACGAAGAGGTCTAGTATATATACGGTACTTTTTTGTGTACGTGTAGATCTCTTGACAGGAAGGTCTGAGTGCTATGATAGTTTTTCATCTCAAAATGTTTAGATATCTATTGATCTAGCCTTACGAATTTATAACATTATTTTTATCAAATTGAATCCTATCACAGTGTGTGGTTTATCAAGAAGATATCGTTTGAAACCATTAAAATGTTTGAAAATTATTTCGTTATAACTGACCCGTTTGTTTCATTAGTTATTCACAAAGCGTACATTTTGCGTGGTTGCAACACATCTGAATATACAATCCATCACTTCACAAAAGCCTATTTACAAAGGTGCAATGCACTACATACAGCCAACGTTAAAGTACATTATGCCATTTATTAATCTATTCCATACGGTTATGAATTTTAGGCCCTTTATTTTGCCTCCAGTAACACAGGCCTGAAGCAAAGTTTTTACATTTATTGGAGGGGTACAGCATGGTGGAAAAGTTGCCCTGTTCACACACTATCACATTTTTTGTGGCAAATACATGTGATTTGCAATATATGGGCATAATGATCTCCTATTAAACATCTACTATTTTGTAGATTGTATATTTTGTCCCTCGAGTTGAAAAAAGAAAATGAAAACATGAAAATCCAAAGTCGTTGGAATAGTATATTTATTTTTAGTTTTTAAACCACGTATATAGAGTGTGACCCTTCCAACATTTCCTAAAAGGATGGCTGATATTCAGGGGCCCTCTTAAATAAATGAAATAATGTGATGCTTTTATCAGCGAAGTCTGTTTATGAGGCTTAGGACGTGGAGTTGTTTCTAGCCGTGAGAAAAAGTCTTGCTGTCACAGGAATAATTGAACCCAGACCCATGAGAAGGAGAGCATCTTAACCACAAACTACGGTATTCAGCTCCGTATAGTATTAGTAATCAGGCCCGTAGCGTGGGGGGGGGGTTTAAGGGGCTACGACGAACCGCCCAAAAACTGGAGAAGGCCCACATTCAAACACGAAAAATTAATATTCGTAGATATATTTACAATGTTCTCCAGAGTATCGGAGATAAGGGTCCACTTTCCCACTGAAACGAACCTCCCACAAATTAAGTCACGCTACGGGCCTGAGTAGGCATAATGCTCATATTCTTCCATGTTGGCCGGTTGCAAATAATCAGATTCGGATTCACAACTTAATAAATTAATATGAAAGAAAGCTGACAGATTTCCTTAGGGTTTTTTAGAGGTGAACATTTTTTAATTTCGTGACAAAATCCAACTCTATTCCAAAAATAAATTTTTATTAAATTATCATTGAAATATTTTTGTAGGCCCAATTGTCAATGATGACCTATGTATTGCCGTTGGTCATGAAATAAAGAATTAGATTATATTTTTAGTTCAGAATAAATCACAGTTTTCTACACGTTATGGAAAAATCCAGCTAATCGAGTTGTTTTTAAAGGAAATATTTAATTATGTTCAATTAGACAATGTCCTCCCCTTCCGAGGCTTCTTACGGCTGATCAGCCTGCTTATTGGCATGGTCATAATGTCCAGATGGTCGGCAAAGAGACTAAAGACGATGACAGTACACGTTATCACTTTTGCCAACGTTGGTGAAACTGCAATACACAAGACAATTCTACATTACTGAGCAACCGACAATGTGAACTACACAGCTTGATGCATGTAGATGTTCTAATCATGGAGGTATAAAACACCCAGGGCCACCGAGAGGAAGGTGGGGGGGGGGGTGGAAGGGAAAAGATCTCCGGGGCCCAAGCTTACCAGGGGACTAATAGATAGCATTTTTTTTCAATATATTTTTCAAAAATAATAATTACTATCATGGGCCCTCAATAATGGCATGAGTCTCCTAATATAGGGCCCCTCAAGATTGACAGCCCCCCTCCCAAAAAAAAAATTGTTTGTGCCTTTGGTGCAATCTTTTCGCGCTTCGTGCTCTTAACTGGGGGCCCACACCAACCCTTGCCCCTGTTATAGTTTCTCCTCTTGGCGGCCCTGAAAACACCTCCAAGTTCTGCTAAGTGGTGGCGGTTGGGGGGGGGGGTGTGGCTTGAATTACTCTGATTTTACTATAGACTTTATTACAAAACAAGCAAGAGATTACACTGTAAAATCACAGAAATGATTAAGTCTGGAAAAAAATCGCCAAAAAATGGAATTAAATAATATACAAACGACTTAACGACGCATAGTTTCGGAGGCCTACGAAGCACCTAGGTGCTGATGCGGTCCAAAAGACGAGTTTTTAGGTAAGGGTCGGAGTCTGGGGCGATGTTTTTTAGAATGTAGACCTAGAATCATCATTTTGATACCGTAGTTTTGGTGCAAAGTGAGGGGGTATTTTGGATTATTAAAGGAGTTTGCTCGTAACGGGGGTCTCGTAGGATCACCTGGTCACGGGCCTGCCATCGTGCACAGGCCTAATCAGATTCATGAAGCCATTATAATTAGTTCTATAACCAGAGTGGAGAAAGAAACATTGTACTTTCCATTAGATGCTTAATCCAGTGGTGTTTGTCGTGTATGTGAACACAGGTGTATCCTCGTGATAGAAATGCCGACATCAAGTGAAACGAAGCATCTAATACGGATTGAAAAACATTGTTCCACTATCTCGAAAAAACATCCGCTTGATAACGAGGCACGGGACTAAGAATAATTCCAGAGTAAATCTAGCAAATATGAATAAGATAACACAGACATAGCCAAATATCGTTGATAAAATAACCATAATAAGTATTTTATTATATTTCTTTTAAAATGTTGTTATTGTATTAATTCTGCAGATAAGTTATGAAAGAAATGTTCTTTCTAATATTAATGAAAATTGTGCTTGTGCATTTAAAGTATTAATTAAATTGTAACTTCATTTTTGTAATTTTGTTGGTTTTGAACGCACCATCAATTTGGCGAGTGCCATTGTAACGAAAGTGTATGTTCAATAAATTACTATATTATTAAGAATTTAGAGTTTTGAATACACTTAAAAGTAGGCCTACAATACCTCGTATCGTAGGTAATTTTTTATCCAGTCACACGCGATTCAACAATGGCTGCAATGGACGGTTTTTGTAGGCCTATGTGATTTTTACGCAATGAACATACTGTATACCCAAATGTACCGGGCCTCTATATGAAATTGTCCTTGGCATAATCTATGAAATCAAACAAAAAACCGCAAGATGAAAAACATAGCTTATCATTTTTAGGAGAATTTTTTTTTTTTTTTTTTTTTTTTTTTCAATCTCAGCAGAAGTAGGTTGGTTCGGTGTTATTATCCAATAAACGAATTTATGTTATTTCGTCGACTAGGCTTATTAATAAATCAGACAATGTAAACAAAAAAGGTGCGCGAACTTTGGTTGGCGCCCACTCGTGGACATAATAATATCATCATTTTGATACCGTAGTTTTGGTGCAAAGTGAGGGGGTATTTTGGATTATTAAAGGAGTTTGCTCGTAACGGGGGTCTCGTAGGATCACCTGGTCACGGGCCTGCCATCGTGCACAGGCCTAATCAGATTCATGAAGCCATTATAATTAGTTCTATAACCAGAGTGGAGAAAGAAACATTGTACTTTCCATTAGATGCTTAATCCAGCGGTGTTTGTTGTGTATCTGAACACAGGTGTATCCTCGTGATAGAAATGCCGACATCAAGTGAAACGAAGCATCTAATACGGATTGAAAAACATTGTTCCACTATCTCGAAAAAACATCCGCTGGATAACGAGGCACGGGACTAAGAATAATTCCAGAGTAAATCTAGCAAATATGAATAAGATAACACAGACATAGCCAAATATTGTTGATAAAATAACCATAATAAGTATCTTAAAGTAATTATATTTCTTTTAAAATTTTGTTATTGTATTAATTCTGCAGATAAGTTATGAAAGAAATGTTCTTTCTAATATTAATGAAAAATTGTACTTGTGCATTTAAAGTATTAATTAAAATGTAACTTCATTTTTGTAATTTTGTTGGTTTTGAACGCACCATTAATTTGGCGAGTGCCACTGTAACGAAAGTGTATGTTCAATAAATTACTATATTATTAAGAATTTACGGTAGAGTTTTGAATACACTTAAAAGTAGGCCTACAATACCTCGTATCGTAGGTAATTTTTTATCCAGTCACACGCGATTCAGCATTGGCTGCAATGGACGGTTTTTGTAGGCCTATGTGATTTTTACGCAATAAACAATACTGTATACCCAAATGTACCGGGCCTCTATATGAAATTGTCCTTGGCATAATCCATGAAATCAAACAAAAAACTGCAAGATGAAAAACATAGCTTATCATTTTTAGGAGAATTTTTTTTGCAATCAGCAGAAGTAGGTTGGTTCGGTGTTATTATCCAATAAACGAATTTATGTTATTTCGTCGACTAGGCTTATTAATAAATCAGACAATGTAAACAAAAAAGGTGCGCGAACTTTGGTTGGCGCCCACTCGTGGACATAATAATATAATAGTACCAAAAACTTCGAAACAGTTAAATGTCCTTGGTAGGTCTGAGGTATTTATATATTTATTGTACTAACAAAATGTTAGATTTTTTTTCCTCATTATTTCCTGGTATCCATTGGTAAAGGGGAACAAACCAATCGTCTGCTTTGCATGTTTTCTTCCTTCCCTTAATGTCTACTACATCTTAAGATTATTTCATTTCGTACCGACAATTACGTTAGGGCTACACTTTTTAAAACAATAAAACAAGCACATTTTTGTCTTCGAAAATACGAGGTTTAGCATGCCCGGGCATATGCCCCAAGGCATTTCATAACATGCATGCCCATGCAACTGCTAAAACTTAGGAATTGCGATATATTTATTGTAAACCCTCTCTGGTCTTTCTATCATAAAATTGTAAACTCTATTTAAACATAAAAGAGTAGAGGGCGCTTTAAATTAAAAACTTTGCCAGTCCATCCTATTTGAAAAAAAAATGTTATAAATATTAACGAATATATTTGACATCATAAAAGTCCCTCGCATACTGCATTAAACAATTATATCCTGGAGTAGAGGGCGCTTTAAATTAGAAACTTTGTTAGTCCATCCTCTTAAAAAAAAAATGTTATAAATATTAACGAATATATTTGACGTCATAAAAGTCCCTCGCATACTGCATTAAATAGTTATATCCTGGAAAACAACGTTTACAGAAAATGGAAGTTAAGTTTATACCCACTGCTTTACACCAACAACAAAAGCAAAGGACACCACAAATTTGAGATCATATTAGGCCTAGATCCAAAAAAGTTACAATCATCTGATAACAAAACAAATATAAGTAGAATGGATGCAATGTATGTAAAATGTAAGGTACTTTGGGCCTCTAAAATTGAAGAAGGCAAGAGTTGAGTTGATATGGGTCGTCATTATTTTGATACCGTTTTAATATGAAATTTTTCACAATCGACTACAACATTCTCAGTCTTTCACAATGGGAGCTCAAATAATTCACAAAAATAGTTTATGCGCAGGATGAGCAAGAAAGAACATCCACACACGACAAGCACACATATTCACTGCAACAGGAGTTACAGTATCTCTAAGTCTCTTATTATAATATTACAAAACAGGACTCCTTTTTGTAACTTAAGCCCTACTCAGATAATCAAATTTTATTTGACAAAAACATGTGACATACCTAAATATGGCCATAATGACTATATATGGGCATACAACAGTTTTTTGTTGTCAAAAATGATAACAATCCAGGCCTGAGCTATGAACAAGTTCCTTAAAAAAATCCCGGTTTTGTTATAAATGTATACAGGTTTAAGTGGTAGAAATAATGCAGTGAGATATTATGACTAAAAATATCACCTAAAAAGTATGACAAATTTATATCATATCATGAATCATGTGCGACACAGGCATGTCACACAAATGTATCCAACACTGCCAGGCTATCAAAGATAGCATAGCAACTATTGGATCTGTACCAAGAAGCTAATTTTATCATTTATATTGCCTTTTCTTGAATATGCTAATATTGACAGCAAGACCTGTCTCTTATACACATCTAGATGTGTATAAGAGACAGAAGAAATGTTCTTTTGATATACCGATAAATTATATAAATTTGATGTGTGGACATATATAAATATTGTAAAATAAATATATGTATATATACATTGCACCATAAAGTCATTTCTTTAAAGTACTGAAATGAAACCTATATGTACATATATATTTTTCAATATGGTTGAAATTTATGTCCAAAGTATCTACACAGTTACTTTCAAGGACATTGATTAGGCTAAATTGATATACAGTACCTATAAATTATATAAATTAGATGTGTTGATATAATATATAGATATTGTAAAATAAATATATTTAATATACATTGCACCATAGAGCCATTTTATTAAAAGTATTGAAATGAAACTTATATGTATTTTATATTTATATTTTTGAATTGTATATTTGATAATATCCAAAGTATCTACACATAATGTTTCCCTTGTCATTGATTACAGAATCAATTACACACAATGTGCAACTTCCATATACTCTGGGAAGTATCTCTATTCTGGTGAATAATTCTGCACCAGTTTAAAAGTTCATTTCACTTAAACCCTCACTCAAAAAAAAAAAAAAAAAAAAAGTCAATGTTATTTGTTTTTTATACACTTGAGCACATAGAGACCTCTGTAATATCTATTATTATTATTATAAGAACTCCTTCACATTCTAGCAGGTACCCATTTATACTCTTTGTTGAAGAGAGGCAAAAAGTGTCTTGCCCAAGCAAAACACTATTGCCTTGAACAAAGGTAAACAAGATCAGACTTGAGCCTACAATCTTTAAATTAAAAGTAAAGAACCATGTGCCGCAGTTAGGCAAACAAAATTATGGTTCTTCTGCTCTATTTCACTAACTTTCTTTGGCCACTACATCATTTATTGACAGCAATGAATATCTGTTTCACTAGGCCTGGCCAGGCCTGATCTGGCATCGAACAGGGCTATGTAGAGTATGTGAACAGAGGTAGTGAAAAAAAGTGGAGTTTTTTCCTTGAAAATAACCCAAATTTCTTTTATATTTGGTCTTAGAAAGTAGGTACAGAACTGACTAAGTATCACATTAACATGTGTGACTGTCACTTTACCACATATCACTATATTTCTAACATTGTTACTGTCAAAATCGTCTGATGACCGATACTCCAGCATCGCAGCGCTGCATGTCCATATTAAACTGCAAAGTTTCCCAAACGTCTTTTACCGGGTCGTACCATTCTACGGTATTTAATAGTTTTGAGCCATCATATCTTTTGAGAGAAAAAAAAAATTGCATCCTTTTTAGAGAAGAATTATAGATGGCGCTATTTCAGGGAACTTTATGCTCAGCATGTCTTTATACTCGTATACTACAGAATGTACCTATCTAATTTGATCTACCTTGATGCCCAGAATTAGAAAGTAAGAATCTATTCTGGTTATTGTACCAGTCAAATTGTTTTTGTAACACTGTACCACTAATACCAATTCACACAGACAAAATGTTACACAGATTGTTAGGGAATGTGTAACATGGCATCCATGAGAATGAGCACTGTATCAACATTCATAAGAAAAACAGAATGACAAGAACTGTAACACTCCTGAGAAATTCAACATAAATTGTGTGCTTCTCACAGAGTGCAACTTAGCTTTCACTGTGGCATAGCTCGTACATATGCTTATACCCATTTCACACTGATACTATTTTGCAAATATTAACAACTTATAACAAGTTGTAACCAGGTTTGGATGAGTGTGAAAGCAAATCCTTGTAAAATTTTCCTAGATTTCACAGGGGTCCCCTGAGTTATCTCGGAACAAAAACAGACCATCGCGAGGCCTGTTTTTTTCCTGAAATCTTCCGAGTTGTTGTTGCGCATGCGTCATGTCCATATTTTGACCTTTTCGTGGGTTGTGTTTTTTTTGTTGTTTAGTTCGAACGAATGGCGGCAGCGATGGAAAACGTATCAACATTACTACCATTTGTTAATAGGCCTAGACCTAAAATCAAAAGAAATCTCGCTAAATTTCACATGTCTGATGTAGAAACAATCAGGAGGCTTCGTTAAACACGCCGACAGCGAATCATTATGATGCTTGTCGCACTGATTGCCTCTAACAACAATGGTGAGCTACCGGCCGACGGCCTGACTGCGCCTAGCTAGCCTAGGCCTATCTTTCTCTCCAGCTCGACTACAGCAAGCAAGCTAGAAGTTGAATTCGGTTTACTCTCCGAAGGCTAAGGACCATGGAATAATTATAATCTTGTTAATTCGGTACCAGGCCTAGTTTAGTACAGTAGTTGATATGTAATTCAGACAACCTACAACTAGCCTAGGCCTACTACTACTAGTACTACCCTAGGCCAGTCATTATTCTTCTGAGTTTTCCCGAGATTTCTCATGGTTTGAAAGTGCATGTGTGAAACGAACCAAAAATCTTAGAATATCAAACTTGTTACAACTTGTTAATAATTGTTAAAAGTTGTAATATTTTCTGCTAGTGTGAAATGGGTATTACTGACTGTGCATCTGTTCCAACTTTACAAAGGTTTGAATTCACTAGTGTGAAAACAACATTGTTAACGGTTAGGAATTTGGAAGACTGTGTAATATTTAAGCTTGTGTCTCCTGTAATGTGAACGGTATTTGATAACAACATAAGGTTCGGACAGCTTCGTTATGAATTATGAGCGAGATTAAAACCGAAAGGTCCACTGATTAATCTCAGATAAGAAAGTATAATACATACTCCAAGTATTGAAATACACGCCATCATGTTGGGATTCAATATTTCGACATTAATTATGTCATCATCAGGAATTGTCGTCCAATTTCATTCATTGCTTTTTTGATCTGGTCAAACTCTAAAGCCCTGATCAAACTATCAAATTTTATTTGACAAAAACATGCCTAAATATGGTCATGATGATCTCGCATCATGGCCATATATAGGCATATCATGCCTATATGTGGGCATACAACAGCTTTTTGTCAAAGAAACTTTGATAGTCTGGACAAGGCTTAAAGCTTTGTCCACACTCAATTTTTCTTTGACGAAAAAATGTTGTATGCCCATATATAGTCATGATGTGCCTATATATGTTCATGATGTGATGTCATCATGACCATATTTAGGCATGTCACATGTTTTTGTCAAATAACATTTGATAGTCTGGACAGGGCCTTAACAGAACAACCAACGCGATTATTGAGACTACTTTGTGTATGCCTATGTGTACAAGTTACTCCAGCTGAAAACATGTAAAGAAACTTCTCTGTGGTATATGACAAAATGTAAAAAGAACAAAACTTTTTTTAGCAACATATAAATGCTCAACTGACTTACCCTGATACTGCATATAGCTTCCCCTTCAGTGTGACAGATCCAACGTAGCATCGGGGCAGTGACATGTTTGCTACTGGTCTCCAAGTGTTTGTTCTTGGGTTGTAGCACTCAACTGAAGACAAATGACCATTGCCATCATAACCACCAATAACATAGATCATGTCATTGAGGACAGATACTCCAGCACCTAACAAATAAAACATTAAAAAAACACCACAAACATGAGGAATGATGAGCTTGAGAAATAAATAATAATAATAAATACAATTTTGTATAGCACTTTAAAGTAATGCTCAAGGGGCTTGAGAGGATAAATAGCAGAAAAAGAAAAATTTGGAAAACCAAGCCAGTAAATAACCTATAAGGTAACTAGAAGAGGAGGAACCAGTATTACCACTTTGTTTACCACCACTTTGAAGCCCAGATAAAATGCAAAAAGTAATGTAGGACAGGAGTAGGGAGTCTTTCGGTGTGAATCACACCAAAAAAAACCTACTAAGTCTGAAGAATTGTTTCCAGTGGGGAACTTCTGGTGGTGAATTGGGCAGTACACTGAGAGACAATCTCCTACTCTTTTCCGAAGAGTGTACTGCATTCTTTAACATGCACATAGCAGGCCATATTGCACCATGGAAGTACTATAATTTATTACCTCCATGATTGCACACAGGACCAACGACTTAAAACGTCTAATCTGAAAGACGGTGTGCCATCGTACTAGTTATACAATATTTATAATGGAAGTATTGTAGTGTAATACCTGATCTTGGGACAAGCATAGGTGCGATTCTGTGCCACTGACCGGCAGCAGGGTCAAATTGTTCTACAGACTTCAGAATCCGAAAACCATCATAACCACCTGAAATGGGACAAACACAGATTTATGTTCAAGATGTAAGGTTCAAATAAACATTATTTTTATTGGAAAAATGATTAGTTATAGTTAACAATCAAAATATAATGATTCATTTTTAAAAATAAAAAAGTCGAAATCTTTTGATTTACCGATGCAATACATCACACCCCCAGCTGATACGAGACCTGCTCCTTCTCGGCCGTTCTCCATTTCTTTCAGAACATTCCATCGATCTATATGGGGGTCATATTTTTCGAGTGAAGAATGCCTCATGGAGCCATCAAATCCACCAGCCACATAAATAGCATCTACATATAAAAGAGTTTTTTTTCATGCATTAGAATAAAGTACAGTAGCTGTTTCATGTATGTATGTATGAAAGGTTTCATATACAATGTATAGACATACATACAGCAAATACTTTAAATATAATGACTATATTTATATACATATATAACTAAAAGTATGCATATAAATTAAATAAATTGATAAAAAATATATAAAAGCTACATATCTTTAAAAGGACAATAAGCGTAAGCAGCTTAGCTCAGCCGGCTAAACTGGTGGAAGCCACTGTGTGTGTGCTGAACTGTGGAGATCTTGCATTCAATTCTCAATGCTGCTCTACTATTACAGCTGGAGGGCTGATATGCAAGTTACAACCGCGCACCGTCTTTCGGATGAGATGTTTAAGCTGTTGGTCTCATGTGCATTATGGCCTATGTGCATTTTAAAGAACGCAGAACACTCTTTGGAAAAGTGTAGGGGATTGTATCCTGGTGTACTGCCCAATCACCACCAGAAGGACATCCCCACGGGAAATAAGTCTTCTTCAGACTTTTGTGGGTTATCATTGGCGTTTACGAATAAACACATCCATCCATTGAATCAACAAGAGAGGGATTGGATTGGATTGGATCTATTCGGTGTAAACACCAGGGACAGCCCACGAAAGTCTAGAAGAAGACTTATTTCCACTGGGGTCCTAACTAACAATATAACCAAAAAAGCATCCTCGTACAACTCTAAATAATGGAGGAGGAGCCAAACAACAAATCTTACCTCCAATAACAGTAACTCCTGCTAGTCCACGTCTTGTATTCATTGGTGAGAGTCTCGTCCATTTAGCCTTTTCTTCTTTACAACAATCTAAACATTCAACAAGATTTAACCGTGCCGTTCCATCGTAGCCTCCTATTACATACAACCGATCCTTCAGGGAAGCAGCAGCAACATACCTTCTTCTTTTATTTAATGCCTATTGATGGGAGATAAAAAAGAATATTAGTAAATTTGGTAATTATTGTGAATCTGTAGGACTATATACAAAAAACATTTGGCAATTTATCTTTAAACATCAATACAATATGCACCAATAAATACATGAAGACAATAATCATAATAAATAAATGAGCTCTGCAAACAAAATTACATTTTTTTAAACAAGAAACTATCGCATGCCTATATATAGTCATGATGTGCCTATATATGGCCACGGTGAGATGTCATCATGACCATATTTAGGCACATCACATGTTTTTATCAAATAGAATTTGATAGTCTGGATACTGCTTAACATACAGGAAGAAATGTCCAGGCATCTGTTTTAGGGTTATACTCCTCAACTGTTGAAAGGGGCATTTGCTCACTCCCAAACCCTCCTATAACCACTAGTCTTTCATCTGCCCCTGAAAAATGGAAGAAAATGTTGCACTAGAACAAGTTGAGTTAACAGTCTTGTGTGTAAACAAAAGATTTTGAAAAAATTACAACATTTTCTAAGCTGTTAATGTTCTCTGTCAAGTTTTTAGTCAATAAACAATGGCCAAGTGTAAAAGTGTAAACTTTTCATTTCTGCCACTTCCATTTTTTGATGTGGCATCAATTTTGTTCATATTTTTTTACCTTAAAGCTGACATCACTACCTTAGAGGCAGGCGCCTCAGCTAATTCCACTGCTGTGCAATGGGCTTAAATCATACTTTCATCCCCTGATTGGAAATGCGGAATTTCTGCTATGAGAAAAAAAGTCTTTTTTCTTTGTGGGCATGATTCATTCAGTTATACTTATTAACTTTGGCTTCATTATCAGAAACTCAAGCAGAAGAAAATTATGTTTAACCTGTTCTTGGCTTGGTGCGAACACTATCCATTTGGCCACGGCATTCTGGTCGAAGATGAAATCTTTTTGCTTCATCAATCAAATCTCTACATTCATGATTTCGTTTAATTAAAGGCTGCAAAATATAAAAAGAAAATTTCAATTAATAAACACATATTCAGAACAACATCTCAGTTGGTTATTAAATAGTGTGTTGTACTGTTATGCTGTACAGTAGCAAACCATCTTTCAGCAAGTTTTAAGCTGTTTGTCCCATATACAACAATGTTCCTTTTGTATGTTAAAGATTCTGGAACATTCTATGGCAAACAGTAGGTGATTGTTTCCCGGTCTTCAGTCCTGCCCAGTGTACTACCTGGAGTGATACTACACTGCAAATATTGTGGATCCCTTGGTGCCCAGCCTGAATCAACTAGTTATAAGAACAATGATATAGTTAAGATTACTTTATTTACAGTGTAATGTGTTGATCTTCAGATTTAAATAAATTTTTCCTCATATATTTGAGAATTTGAGATTTCGATACTTTTATGTATGTAAAATTTTATGTCATATCCTGTTATGGGCGATGGTCGACGTTGGATTTCGTTGAAATAAAATAAATAAAATAAAAGGAACTTTCTTAAGCCGGGCATGATGAGATTCTATGGCAAGTGCAACACCACGACGCGCATCGGATCATTTGTAATGACAACACGTTCAGACAGCAACCAACAATCAGCCGACACCGTCACATCGTCTAACGCTCAAAGGGAGCGTAGTTGGATTCGTCGTACAAGAAAACAGACCTTAGACTGCAAATGACAATCATGAATAAAATGGTAATAATGATAATGATATTGAAGTATTATTTTAAAGAAACGTTTCATTTTAAATAATTTCACCTCATTATCAATTGTGTCAGTCAAATACTTCGGTGAAAGTAATGGCAGGCGAACATGACTCAGCAGTCTGGGTAAACTGTCCATGCGGCTCTCTTTCTCGTGCCTGGTCCAGGACATCAGAGCCTCGAACATCATTTCTTCTGAGCCTAGCTGTTGATTCAAATGGGACGGATCCATTATTACTAAAGTCATATAAATTATTCAAAATTTTACTTATTTTGAACATTTTTCATTTATAACTGTTACTATAAAGTGGTTTTATAATATTATAGATTTTAATGTATAAATCAAAAATAATGTATAATGCAAAATTCTCCAATCAGGTATAATCCCACCCAATAACTTCTACAGAAGGCATAGACCTAGCTTCACTTGTTTTAAGCTCCTGTCACACTGTAGCAAATAGAGCCAATGTATGCTGACGTTTATCAAAATTTTGGTTTACGTTCATGTAAGTTAACATTCTTTCGGGCCACATTTTGACATACGTTGTATTCTTTAGCTGTTCGTAGGGGTTCGCAGAGATGCGAGTGACATTAGCTGGACATTTGTTGTGTACGCTTAACATTCGTTAGGCAGACGCTATGAACGTGTTGTCATTCGTTAATATGGACACTAGTTGTACAATCAGCATTCGTTCCTCATCCGTTGGGCGTTCGTCTTATATGCCAGGATGGTTGTTTTTTGCCAAGAAATTTGAGCGTATCTGGAATTCGACAAATTTTGAGAAAAAATCAGTATGTCGGCATAGTTAACTCTATTTGCCACTATGTGACGGCCATTAGCTTTGATATTCATACTGCCGGGTTGTTCTCTGCATTTTGGTCCTACTAGGGTATAAGCCCTTTTTCAAATAGGCTTAATTTTGTGTTCAAAATACAGTACATGAGAAATTATTATATTAATATTCTAATATGGGATAAAATATAGGAACAACTATAAACTCTTTTATTATATTTGGAATGTGTAATTTCACCCTGGCTGTTAATGTAACGACTGTTGGTATAAAATAGATTTATACATTTTAACAGGCTGTTGCATAACAAATACTGTGATGATACACACGATAAAAAAAGATAAATTCCTACATGGACATCATCACTCTTGACTAGTGCTTCGACCTCCTTCTCATCAAGAGCCAAGAACTCATCATTTTTAACCACAGCCTGAAAATGCCTGTGGCAGTAGTCGAGGGAAGCCTGGGTGAGATCCAGGCATGAGTGCATCTCTGCAAAGTGTTTGATTCCTAGGCAGTTTGTTGGGTCGAGCTGGTTTTCTAAGAAAGTGCAGCAGGACTTTTCAACACCTGCGAATATCAAGTTGACAAAAGTGGACAATATTGTATCTACCTTAGATGTTTGACGTTTTTGTATTCATAAGCCCCAGTAAACAACCAGCAGGCGTAATTTCCCGTTCCTTTCATTCCATTCTTCATATGACTCAACTTATCGAGTTTATCTGCCCAACCTTTGTTTTATTTACTTCTTTTTATATATATATATATATTTTTTTTTTTATTCAAACTTCTCATTTTGTACCACTTAATTTATTGTACTTATTTATTTACTGTATTTATTGTACTGACTAAAAAACTTTTTATAGCCTCAAATTATTAATGGTTTTTTTTTTCTTTTTTTAGATGGCCTGAGATTAAGTGTCTCCGAACCTATACAGGCCTCCATTCATTTATCAATAAAAAAACAAAATTATCTTTTTTCGCTTGTGAAATGTAAATAATTGATTGATAATGATGAATAAACAGTAACAGTAATATATACATTATTGTTGTTACTATTCTATCATTCATAATTATTATTGCTATAATAAATGTTAATAATTTATTAATGAAGAAGTAATGTAAAGATCTCCACAGTCCAGCACACATACAACCGCTACTAACTGTTTATCTTATATGCTGCTACCTAGTAACTGTGAGGTTTTCCATAAGTCAGTCAAACATTACCCCATTTTTGTCTTAAATTAAATTTAACAGACAATGTGTGTGAATAAAAAGTGCAGCTAAGTTGGAGCAACTCCATTTCAAATGAAGAATTTTCAGGGTCATGTTCATTGCCTAGTTCCATATAATAATAATTTATTTTAAAACTTCACATTTTTTTTTATCAGTGGCAACACTTTCAGATGAAGGTGCATCCAAATGATATTACAGAGTAAAAAAAAATGACAAGACATAATAATAATAATAAATATTATAAAATTTATGGTACATACCTTTGAGTTGTAAAAGACAAGCAGCTGGCAATACTTCTTGGACATTTTCAACAGTGATCTGAATACTTTCTGTATAAATGTACTCGATAAGAATCTTCATAGTCGATGACTTCAAACCCTGCAGTTCCACTTGCTGTCTGTGACTTTCAAACATCTAATAACCAACAAATCAATAATATTACACATAACTCTGTAACACCACCCGAAGCTCAAAGTATTTCTATATAACATAGAGTATGCTATAACTTAGCTTTTTGTTATGTTTAAATGCATAACCTGCTTTTTAAAAAATGGGATTTAAAAAAAAAAATTCCCACTAAAAAAATATACACAAACAGTACTGGTTGAAGACAACTTGATCTCCTGCTTCGAACAAGAGGCTACTTTTGGAATCTAAAGATGGGGGCTTCAATTTGAGATGGGCTTCCTCTTGAGATTAAGCCCATTGTGCTTCTATTCAAGGTTTTATGGTATGTTAATTATTTTAATTACACAATTTATAGTTAGACATGCCTAGAAAATGTATATAAGCTTAAGTTAACAATATAATATGTATGTGTAAATATTTTACTATAGGAACAAAAAGAAATTTGGAGTGACTGAAATTATTATCTGAAAAATAATAATAATAAATATGTCATTATTATCTTTACGTTTTTGTAATAATTTTGGGCACTAATCATCAGAGGTCAAGGTGCCAAGCCTATCGAATCAAGACCTTATTACCCTTTTGAACACACTGGAATGGTTGTAAGTGCAACTGATAATATAGCATTTTTTTCAAATAAAGTATATATATTATCAGTTGAACAGGAATAATAATAGTGTGTATGTTTAGCCTTAGAAAATTATATGGATAACAACATCTGTGTTTATTTTGTCAGAGCAGCTTAACATTAACATATGATTTCATATTAAAAAATTGTGAATATCATAGTTACCTCTCCTGTAAACATTGCACAGAAATAATCACTGCTAGCTGCCATGACAATCCGGTGTGCAGGAAACATTTGTTTCTCAACACAAAGCACAACATCACACAAAAGCTCCTGTTTCCTCAGTTCATTCATTGACATGAGCATGCCTTTGGAGTGGCTAGTTGTGCTGCTAGGCCTAGCCCTGATTCTCTTTGATCTTAATTGGGGAGATTCCATTTCAAATGAAGAAGCCTCAATGTGGTGTTCATTGCCTAGTTTCATATCATAAACTTTATGGCTCTAAAATGTTAAAAAAATACAGTAAAGAATGTACTATAGTTCAAAATGCATCAGCTGCAATATTCATTCATGCTTAAAATATATCAGTGTTTTTGTATGTCCATTTTTATTCAGGGGCAGTACAGACAAGAGATTGGCAGGGTTCATTACTGTCCCTTCCAATGTGTTGGTGGCTAGATAATATTTAATTAATAAAATGATTTTGTAATTAAATTATTTGTGCCTGTATATTATACTGCCATTTTGGCATTAATAATGAAGAATTGCTGACTAAATTTTGTTTCAGGACAGTCCATAAATGGTAGCTGAAAATCATATAAATTATACTCCAACACTTTTGGAGACCTTACGAGGTCGGCTTCAAAACACTTACTGTGCATTGCCAATGTGTCTCATTCCTTAAAAGTTACAGACGACTATAGTATAACCAGGGAGTTGTTATAACAACTCCTTGGTATAACATTCTGCCAAGTATTGGTCTATTTCTGCTAGGCTTTGTTAGAGAACTTGCTTGAATAGGTACACCACTTCGATTACTAGCTAGCCTACAGTAGGCCTAGTAGTAGTATTCTTAAACCGGGTGCGTCCAGGCCAATCGATGATCAGATACTGTAGGTCTAGTAGTAGGCTTAGCGTACAGGTCCTAGCCTAGAGTATATTACTATTCCTATCTAGCCTAGCAATCAAACCGTGTAATACAGTACATGCGTAAAGAAGTTTAACTTGGCTATATATTGTATGTATTATTGTTTTCTAAAATGAAACTTCACTTCTATTTTATGAGCGAAACAAACATGACCTCCCCCACTCAACCGATCTCCGATGCTCCCGATCCTTCCGTCTCTTTGCTGATCAGTCAAGCATGAAGTCGTAAACATTAGCGATTTTTAAATCCCGCCCTCTAGAAGAAAAACTTGGAACATGTGGTAATTTCACTGTTCCCTGATAATAAACGTACTGTTTGTGTTTTAGATATAATTGAAAAATAAATTGATGCTGTCGGCCATCAAAATATACGTTTAAATGAAGCTGTGAAAAACAATGTCCACATATCAAGCGCCCTGAGCATCTTATGTTAGATGGATATGACGCTATATAAAACTACACTATTATTATTACTATTAATGTTCAACAAGAAGAATATTTTGTAGTAATGGGCATTAAGATTGTTTAATCATGTGAAGTTATTTCATAATAATAAGCCATTTGTATTTTTTTTGTTGGTTAGGCAGTTTTGCTTTATTTTCATGTACAATTGTTATGTTTTGTCTCTTTTGTACTGTCATGTTGAATAATGAATAAATAAAATAATAATAAATAAATAAAACATGCTTTCCTAGCCAATAAAAATGAACATAATTATGCGTATAGGCCTACTTAAATTATGTCAGTTATTCTTGTGTAACAATTTCTGTAGTTACTATTAACTAGTTAAGGCCTACAAATCTATTAATAACTGTGTCTGATAAGTCATAGCCACGTTTTACATGACAAAAATCATTTTTTAAACATTCCATTGGATTTTGTTTCTAGCTATTTCTTTAAGTTCATAAAAATCAACAGTGTTTTCGAATTTAATCCCTCTTTCTTTTATATCAGAATTTAACTGTAGAGTGCACCCGCCAATTCGAGACCCCTCTAAATCCGGCGACACCCCTCTCATTATAGACTACTTTTCCAAAGACCCAAATAACAATCTTTAACCTTTTAACACAAAGCTAGCCCTCTAATTGGAGACCAACTCCGGTTGTATATTAAAAATGGAACCAAAATACAGTGATACCACTCTTCAGTGATTTGTAAGCGCCACTCTCTAAAATAAATTACTCACCAAAACCGTCTGTTGCACATCAAACCTTTAAGACATAGCGCCACCAATAATATTACACAAAACACCAGTGACGTGAACTTGATCCAATGTCAGTGTTTTGTTTGAGGTAGTTTGAAAGTGTCAGAAGGTGAACAAGTTTTTGGCTTGTTACTCGTGTGGTAATTTGTGTTTGTATGTAAAGGAAAATTTAAACTGCGTTCCATTGATTGTATTTTTTCCACAGTGAGGATATACGCTAAAGAATACAATAGGACTCCAATGCTCTCTGTGTGATGAGGTATGTTCAACCCGGCCTGTTTTAAATTCTCTTATGTTTTTATTTTCTGTGTAGTGATTCGAATGATCACATGAATATGATCGATTAGTTTAGTGTGAAGATCTAAACATAATAGTCATAGTGAAACATTCAGATTTTGACATATATTACACAAAAATCTTGTATTTTGTTTCTCTGGATCTGTTTTAAATCGTATGCCATTCGGAATACAGTCTCAGGGGATTGCACTTTATATACGCCTATTCGGAAATCGTTATTGTTAGTTTGTTATTTTTGTGGTGGTATAATTAATGCTGCTTTTCTGTAATTCTATATATTTTTAGAGCTAGACAAACGCATTTTATTTAATGACGAAATAAATTAATTTTTGAATGTATGTTTATATTAAATTATAGGCCCTATCACGATTTCAAGCGTTTTGTTGCTGCGCCTGTTACGATGCCTCTATACAGTAGAGGCATATACAGTACCTCAATTAGTGTGGGTACGTATAATTACAACTACAGTATGACACGGGAAAGGAAATAAATCCATTAAGTATAAAAGATTTCATCAATTGTTCACGTGCAATGCATTTTTATCCTGTTTAACACTCAGTACAATTCTGTGATATATTTTAGGCGTATATCCTGTTTTTTGTTTAATATTGTGTTTTCAGTCGTTTAAAAAACCGCAAATAATTATTAAGGTTTTATAGAAGGGCTTCGTAACACTATAGATACGACAGCTTGACGCGTGTCGATTTGGGGTAATGAACCAATTATTACCGTATATTACTCGTCAGAGTTATGCTCAATGATGTTAATATTATAATTGTAATTGCCGTATGCAACAGTTAAGTTGTTTATTGTTATAGAAACTGTTGTCTACTCGAGTATACATTCGTATCGCATTGATTAGTTCACTTTTTTAAAAATTAATTTTCATAGCATTTAAATATATCGCTCTGTTATTTTTCCTTTTCTTTCCTGATTAAGGCTCAATCAATGTTATTAAAGACAGGCGTACTACAGTAAAATCAGGAAACCTCTAAAAATGTCTTAAAAATGAAATAAAAAAAGTTAGTATATGATCTGTGCGTGTCTCTGAACGTTTATCTTTAATTGAGGAAAAGGTTTGACGAACAAAATACCTCACCTGTTGGTCAACTTAGCCTAATGGGACACTACCGTATATACTGTAGGCCTATCGCTACCCTGTGAAATTATAGCTGTTTTCTTTCCCTATTGGGTACCATTGTCTATTTTTACAGAGGCAAACAAAATGTGTTTTTGCAGCCTTCGAACGAATTTACGATCTTCTGTAAACTATGGTGGACCCGGGGGAAATTCTGTCATTGAATTAGCTGAACAGGAGAACTATTAAGGGTTCATTGTAGCTGAACAATAGCTAAACTAAGAATGTAGGGTGAGTGAACGAAATGAAAACTTCCGATGGAACAAAAGCCTCTTTCTGTCAGTCAATTGAATATTAAACAATCGTGAGTATTTTGTTCAAAATAAACATCGTTGCCATGTATTTCTCTGTATTTATTGATCGAAGAATATAGTTAGATGATAGAACCGTGTTAGTCTGGTAAACGTATAAATAAAAACACTACGTCTATCAAGGCACTGTATAAAATAACTTAAATTATATAATACACAAGCCAACAGTCTATGCTGGCTTCATCAGGTATAATCGAAGAACAAACATTTTTTCTTTGCTACATGTGTCATAATAAATGTAGCCTATTTAGATGTATTGTTCTAGAATAAATTGGGGTGAAGAAATGAGCTTGGAAAGAGGCATATAATATATTCCAACATACCATATACAGTACAGTAATACAAAACAACTGAATCACAAAGAGAAATATTTCTAAGCTAACCAATGCCGCGCTGTTGCAAAACAAAATTCGAATATGACTTTAAAATAAATGATTGTCATATTTCACATTGCGATAATACGAATTATCTGCCTGAAACTATTCACTGACATCTGTCAGATATTGAATTTCACTGGCCTTTTGACACTTTATCTGTTCAGACAGATCAAGTTGTATATCATCGTCTCAAGCCGAAAGTAATGATGAATATAATTGTACAATATTGTGCATATTTATTATAACTGGCAAAACGCACTAGGTCTATGGGACACATTACATTTATTTTTTTTATAAGTACTGATACTACTGATATTGATAATACTTTATTCATCATAAAATAAGTATTTTGGAAAGACCTACCGGTACATTGTTAAAATTTAAGACAGAATATTGAGACACTCTACGAGATATAGGCCTACTGTATTATACCGGATCCATACAGACCTTATACGAAAAGCATTGGTCAAGCATGAAGTATAGGTCAAGTAATTTGGAATCTCGAGTGACCACTCAAATAACTCAATATAGTGTGGCATTAGGTATATTATTATCCTCCAAAATCCGAGTTTACTTGAAAATTGACTGTCTTTGAAAGTTCCCCCTTTGGCGTTCCATAGTGGTTGTGCTAAAATTAATTACTTCTTATCCATTTATCTCTTCGTTACAAATATTATATTCTTATATCCTTGTTTTTTTTTTTGTGTTTTTTTTGTAATTTAATGGTGTTGAGATGAGATTGTATAATACAGTGTTTTACATATTGAATACAATGTTTTTGACGATTTTTTCGGTCATTTTTTGGTATTATTGTAAGCCAACGTTTCATTGCTGAAAATATGAAGGTGATCCTAAAAATAGGACGCAGAAAGAACGTGTCATCAGATAAAGGTCGCCAAACGTAGTTTTTATTGCTAGGAACAACCCTGTGACTTAGTGCACTGTTGATATCCGATTTTCCTTGATTATTGCTTTAATTGACTTTACCTACAATATCAATTTGCGGATTTACAATCCGGTCGTAAAACATGTCGTCTTTTTTCTTGATTATAAATAAAACAAGTTTATAAAGCATTGATTTATGTTCCTTAGTAGTGTCACCCAGTAACAAGATACAAACAAATTAAATCGATCCGTTTATTCGGAGAAATTTTACTCTAGTAATTGGACTTTATATTTTCATATGGCTATATATACGTCAGTTTAAGAGCTTTAGTACAAAGCAATAATTACAACACAGGTGTATCACATCTCTCTGGCGGGCACTCGTTTTAACTGACAAATTTGTTTATAGGCAGACTGGTGAATTGTTGATTTACGACCTACAAACATTAAAATGTTATCGGTTATAATGTCATCCATCTTAACAACCGATACAATTTTAAACGCAACACGACCGAGTCGAGTTGGATACAGGTAGATTGTAGACAGTAGGCCAACTACTCAACTAGGCGACAACTACAATATTATGTTTTTATATTTACATATTAATAACGCAATTGATTGTCACTAGAGATCATTGAAAAACAATCATCTCGATCCAATACTTAATAATATTAAATTATTTTTTGAATTATAAGAAACAAATATAAATAAGAAAAATAAATAAATAAAATTAACAATGAATAAACAGAGATTAAAACCAAGAGTCATGGTTTTGTTAAATTGAATGAAAATACACCCCATTCAACAGTAGTAAAAAACAATTCATCGTTGAGGTTTAATTTCTACATGAAACACGGTTTAAATAATGAGGAAAATTCATTCGCGGTAATTTTGTCTGATCTTATTATCGAGTTCATGGCTGGACCAAACGCACATCAATTAGGTTTTAAGTTTGATTGGCATGTTTAATGCTTGTCACCATCGACATTGTGACCTGTCATTATTGTCACCCTCCATTTTGAACTCACATGTTGGTGAAGGTAATAAATAAAATCTGTTGTATTATTTTGTCCCATACGTCCGGTCCAGTATGGGACAATCACCTCCATGGGAAATCTCTTGATAGTCACAGTATTTTATTACTGAGTGCGTGTTAAGACGTAATAAATATATAAAATGAAAAGCAATGCCACAAGTACGACAGGCATTATTTTATCACCAAAAAAATGATTTAGAATGGGAATTATTTTCTTCGTTGTCATAAGTCGGTGAACATCCCATATCATAATGATAGCATCGATGTACATTAGTTGTATTGCTAAATTATTATTAATGAATACTGGGAGGAATAAAGAAAATACAATAAAAGTCTTACACAACCGGAATTAAACGCTCGAGACGTTATTGTCGCCATTAAACAATGTCATCCGAAGAACAGCACTTATGGAGGAATGTGATTATTAGTAGGCCTATGATGACAAGTTACAAAATGGACCTTTCAGCTAATACCCGTCCACTGGGTACAGTTGCTAAGCTGTTGGACATTAAACAATAGTAAATGTATGTGAACGTGCAAATATGTGGGACATGCGCGTACTCCTTAATATTACGCATTCTGATTGATCAGATTGGAAAGGAAATACTGATATTAAAATACATTCCAATAAGACAGATCAAAACAGTTGAAAGAGGAAGCACAAAGTTAACATTTTTCCCCTAATAATATAGGCTTACTGTAATACCAAGACCGCGCTATACTGTAATTCAATAAAGAAGAAGTTTTTGGACAATAGTACAATAGCAACAATGATGGTAGTCAACAGTAGGCCTATTAAGAAGTTGGCATGGGACCGTAAGGGCGGCTGAGAGGTAGAGGCTTATGATGGTAGGCAACAGTAAGGCATTGGACAGGCGGCTGATTGGTGGAGGCTGATTGGGTTGAAATGGGAAAGTGAGGGATCACTAGCTGGAGGAATGGATGAAGAGACAGCCTTCAAGGTGATTTTTCACACTTCTTGAGTTTTTCTCAGTAAGTTTGTTTCAGGCGGGGGGGGGGGGGATCTTGAGCAACACCTCCTCCTTAAGCCCTGACCAGACTATCAAATTTTATTTGACAAAAACATGCGACATGCCTAAATGATATCATCACATCATGACCATATATAGACACATCATGACTATATATGGTCATACAACAGTTTTTTTGTCAACGGAAGTTTGATAGTGTGACAGAGCTTTATTAGATACGCAG